CTTCAGAATATATTTGATCTTTTTTTTTCTTATTTTACCTTCATATATAGATGCTGCCTGCTTCTTCTTTTTCCATCTTCTTATTAATGATGATTATGCGAACAGACATTTTTGCATGTGTGAAATGTGGCCGCACGCAGACGCGCCCTGTAATTATATCATTTAATAAAATTGCTACATCTGCATAACAAAAAAGCAGATACAGTGGTGTCCGCCTTAGGCATAGCCAGGCACTTGATGAATGCAATATTGCGGCCACCAATGGCAGTAGCATGTCTATACTTTTAACCACAAGAACAAAAGTGCCAACAAAACCACACAAAAAAATTAAGAAATAATTTCAATTTATACAGAAATGCAGGTTTTGGATAAAATGTTAATGAATTTTTTATGCGAATGGTGGACTATCCGATTTTGAACTAAACTTTGTTCAACCTAATATTTTTAGTCATGCCTGTATAATGTTGGAAAATGGGGCTTATCGGTCGTCCACTCCTTTTAGTACTTCCGCCACAAAGGGTCAACGTTGTATAACTTGCGAATTGTGTTTAAAAAGATTTGAATAACCGATTTAATCCACTGATCTGGTCTGACGACTGACACTTATGTTTTATTTAGGGGTCTACATATTTTAGTAGTGTTTTGTATTATCATAATGACAACGAGGCTAACCTAGGAATATAGATTCTCTGAAAGTAGAAGTTCAGTGGTAGTTGTTTAGGGTATCATACGGTCGTGCCTGTCCGACCTGTCCCAGCTACCCTACTATTATTTTTCTTTTCTCTTTTTTCAAATAAAACCATATTTTTTTTTAATTTCGTATTTTTGTTTTTTTTTTCTTTTGAATTTATCGTTTAATTCATCATTGTTTATTTATTTTAGTTTCAAATATTTAAGTTGTTGTTTTTGTTATTGCATTTAATATGTATAATTTCATCGAATTTAAAATGTATTCATTTTTTTTTTGGTTTTGTTGTTTTTAAATTTAAATCGCAATTTGATTTTTCTTTTATATCAGTGTATATGTATATATATTAATATATAGCTTGTGTATATATATAATTTGTTGTTATTTAAATTTAAATTCTTAAATAAGTACGTTATCGTTTAAATTGTTGTTGTTGTTTTGTTTGCTTCGGTTTTAGTTCAATAATTACACGATTCGTTTTTGTTTGTTTATTTTTTGAATGTTTTTTTCTGTTGTTGATTTTTGTTTTGTATATATAAGAATAATATATATTTTTGTAATACAAATACATATAATATTTTTTTGTTTTGTTTTAGTAAATTGTAAACATCGGTAAACAGAATAATTGTTTTGACGATATCAATTAATTTCCAATAGATAAGAAGTTGAAAATTTGTTTAATTTTTTTCTTTATTACGGTTGTGAATTTTTTATTTTAATTTTTTTTTTTGAGTTTTATGACTATTGTTTTTAAGAATATATATATATGTATATTGATTTTTTTTTTTCAATTATAATACATATAAACGACGACAAAATATATGTAGAGAATTTTATTATTTTTTTCATTTAAGTATGAGAAGGAATTGATATATTTTAGTTGTATTTATTTATTTTTATATAATATTTTCAATGTGTGTGGAGGGAAAATTTTTGTTGTGTGTGTGTGTTTTTATTTAATATATATATTTTTTTTGTAAAAGGAAGATTCAAATAGAGAAAATTACATTTAATTTTCTGTTTTGTTTTCTTTTTTAATTATATTTTTATAATAAAATACATTTCAATTATCATTTAAATTCTGTTTTGTTGTATTTAATATTTATTTGTATAATATCCAAAATATTTATTTAAAAAGAGACACATTTATATATATATGTAATTAGTAATAATTAAAGTAGAAAAAGTGTATTTGAATTATTTAAATTTAATTTTTAGTTTTTGGTTTTAATTGTACATGCAAACGTTTGAAAATAACTAAAAATATATTAAAAATTGCAATTTTCCTAAATGTGATTTTTTTTTTTCATTTTGTTTGAAGAAAATTTAACTATCGACAAGGACAAGAGAATATAGTGTTCGGAAAATTGAAGATTTTCATAAACATTTTGACAATTGTTTTTTGTAGAATAATTAACCAAACTGTCTGATTTTTTATTATAATTATTAGTAAGAAAATAATTAACTTTTTAAAATTTTTATAAACAAATTGCTAATACTTTTCTTTGTTATTATTTAAAACATAACTTTCTATCTCAATTTTCACATACGACATTTCAAGTCTTTGAAGATACGAATACGTTTCGATATAGCTGGATTTATTAAAATATCAAATTTTATTAAAATACCTGAAGTAGTTCAAAAGTTATGACCCCAAAAATCGTAACCTTATTTTTTCATTTTCACCATTTCAATCTACTGCCATCAATAAATGCGATTGCCAAATCAGTCATATTAGGGAAAAATCAAGGTATTGTGTAAAATAAGAAAACAAATTCCAAAACAAATACATAATTTATTTCTATTTTTTTCCTTAATTGCAATCAATAATAGCATGACAGTCACAATGTGGCCAGATCAGGTTATCGTTGTTTATAAATTCCGATAAAAATCAAGGCATACCTTAAGGCGTTACATTAAATGTAAGGAATGATATTTTTAGTGAACGCCTAGAAGTATGCTTTAAGATTATCTAATTTGAATGAAACCATATAGAAATACCTTACAAGGGATATGGCAACGCTGCTAGCTAGCAAAACAGCACCACAAATAGAAAATGTAAAATATCGCCAAGATAAAATTGTGTGATACTAGGCGAACAGAATCATGTAGCAGCTATATTTTGTTACAAGGCAAAATTCAAATGCTCATATCTCAGCAACGCGTGGGTGGATTTACATGAAAATTTCACCACAGATATCGTATAATAATGTAGTTTTTATAAATATTAGTTAAAATACTATTATTTTTTAATAAATACTATTTAAAAAATTTACCAACATTTGTATATGGAGTTTAATTAAATTTTTTTCAGAAAATGTCTGCTATTTAAATTAGACCGAGTTTTCATTTGTAAATTAGACCGAGTTTTCATAAACACTCTGATTAATGTATTTTTTGAAAATGTAATTTTTTGAAATGAAAGTATATATATATATATACATATATGAAATTTTCAATGTCTGTCCAATTGAAATTAACTTTGAAATACTGTATAGCATTGAGTATATAATTACGTGTAATAAGTTTTATTGAAATAGGTTCAGATTTAGATATAGCTCAAATGTATAATTTAAACATATCAGCCGGTATGTTGTGGTCACCTGATATGGTAAATGCAATGATAGTTGTTGTTGTTGTAGCAGCCCTATTGCTTTTACACAATGGGCTGAGGTGGCAGACGTTGGCCGAGTAAGACTCTGGCGTGGAAACGACTGCAATAACAGTGAGTGTTGCTGCTGTATTTAAATATAGCTCCCATATATATTTGCGTTCGATTTTATATAAATGGTGCACCAATGACCCAATTTTTTACTTCTATTTACAGGAAATTTTACATAGCGTACTGAACTGAGTCTGAAATGACGTGTGTTAAGTTTTGTTGAAATCGGCTCTTATTTATATATAGCTTGCATATATGATTTTGTTCGATTTGAGTTAAATGGTGAACCGATTGAAATTTTACATAGCGTATTGAATTGAGCCCAGAATCACATGTGGTAAGTTTTTTTTGTAATCGGTGCGATGTAGATATAGCTTCTATACATATTTTTTTCTTCCGATTTCATGAAATTGTGCTCTGAATACCCAACGTTTGTTCGATTGAGACGAAAATTTGCACAGCGTATCGTCATAAGTCTAAAATGACGTGTGTATATGTTGGCTTTAAATAGGTTCAGATTTAGAAATATCTCCCTTATGTATTGTTCACATATATATTCTTCTATATGATTTCATCTAAATATCCAACATTTGTCCGATTGCGATGCAATTGTGCACATCCTACCAAAATGAGCCTAGAATGACATGTATATATATTTTCATTCGATTTCATATAAATTGGGTACCTAATTAAACATTGTTTGTTGTATTGAGATTTAAATTTGGATAGATTTCAGAATGACATGGGTATGAGTTGATTTAAATTAATCCATATATTTATGTAGAACACATATTTAATTTCGGCCGTATCCATGTCAATGGTTCTCCAAAGCTATGTCGGTTCTATACTATGCTATGTTCGACAGGATATTCTACATTAGAACATGTATAATCGACCCCGTTCGACTTTTGAACATTTCTTGCTGTTTTTTATTTTCCTTGCCCTCTACATCGGAATGGTGACGTATTATATATGTATATAAATAATTCCCGTAACATAATGGTCGGTAATCCAATAATTAAAGTTGTTTTCATTTATAATTTTTTATATAATATTCCAATGTAGTTGTTATGGGGTGATCAAACTATCCAGAATTAGTACGGGTTTCCTTTATAAGTTCAGTTTTCCTTTAATCAAAGCCTCTGCTCTTTTTTCTACACAAATTGCGTAAGGAATTTTTTGCCAACATGAAAAAAGTTTACAGTGATCCAAAGCGTTTATTCTTCAAACAATGTCTTTAATACAACTCTTTAGTGATGAACTTTTTCAAAAAAAAAAATGACAAAATAAAATAAAAATATTATTAAATTCGATATAAATAACTTAAAAATAACTTCGTTCGACCTACAGATACACACCAAAAAATACATCTAAGTACAAATGCTAAGTGTTGATAAAATTAAAAAAAATAAAATCTCATACAAATATGATTTTGTAAAATAAACTAAAAAAGGAAATGAGAACAAAATAAGAATAATAAGGCAATTTAAATAAAAGACATTTGCACGTACATCATCAACATTTGCTGGGGAGGACGAGGAAATATTGGGATAGTACTTTTGAGAGGACAAGGATAAAAAGTTTTATATGAAAATATTGCGAGCGTTTTATCATCTTCTTTTGCTTTTTTTCGTTCGACTATTTCATTCATAATGAGCTTAATTATGAGGAATAGTTGTCGTAAATTTTGCAATAGTTGTATTGTTATTATTAGTTGTTTTTGTAGTAGTAATTGTTGTTTTTTCTGCTTTTGTGGTAATAAAAAAGAGAGATCATTTTTTGTTGTTGTTTCTGGAAGTCTAAGTTTAATTTTTTGTTGCGGCTCCATTTGTAATTGTTGTTGTTGCTTTTGTTCCTGTAATCTTAACCAGCGTCACAACTCATAGGCAATGTTGTTCTGTTCGTCACGCGTCTTGCGCGCCTTAAACGGTGCAGAGAAATGCTCAAAGGCAGTTTCAGGTGTAAACGATGATGTGGAATACGAACGCAAACGACGATGCGGCGTCTTCGACGATGTATGCGGTCCCGAACTGCGTGACCTCTGGTAGGGTGGACGTCCAAAGGAGGTGCTATACAGACCGCTACGATTGCGGGCACTGCTACCGTGCGCTCCACCGCCACCACCCCCTCCTCCAGCACCAAAACAACGCATTGCTGCACAAATCAAATTACACCACGACGACGGTGAGAAATTGTAAAATGGTGGGGCTGATTTGGGCAGCAAGTGTTGTCGGCTATTGTGCAAATAGGGATTGTAGTTGGAACGAAACGAACCGCTGTCACTGCTATTGCCGCTATCAATGCTTGCCTGTAAATTGTTAAAGCGAAAGATGTTGCCATTGTGGGGATAGGGATCGTCGTCCGCCGTGTGAAAGCCATGGTTGTCGGCAGCATTTGAGGACAACGTATCAGTGCGATCAAAATCCCTGTCTATCGACACGGCTGGTGTGATAATCATAAATTGACTATATTTGGTGCGATATGAACGATTCGAGGAGGGTACAATGGCTTTGGAGGTTGAACTACCACCATGGCTTCCCCCACCAGAGGAAGAAGAATAGGAATTTTTATGACCAGATGACATGTGATGTTGATTGGTCGATGAAGCCTGTGATTGTTGCTGCTGCTGTTGATTGGCTGCAATTGAATTCAGCAACGTTTGATTTGTATCCACCGATGAAAACGAAGCTGTCGATGATGTTGGCGATAAATCAGCACCCGATGTTGCGGCATTAAAAAACGATGCCGTATTACCCAAGGCAGCTGTACTGCTTATAATCCCGGCCGTTTGACTTATAAACATACCAGCCGGTGATGGTTGGGTCGTGGTCACCTGATATTGTAACTGCAATGGCAGTGAGTGTTGCTGCTGTATTTTGGCATGTTGCTGTTGCAGAGCAATGCTAGAGGAATGTTGCGGTGGCAAATGCCCGGTGGTGGCATTTGTTGAGTGCTGTACTGGAGCCATAGAAGATTGTATTGACTGTTGCTGTTGCAGGGCTGGCGATGATGTGGTTGGTGTAGAACCGACTGAGGGCATCCATCATCTTGTTTCTTCGGTACCGCTACTGCTGTCCTCAGGTTTTACAATTTTATAGGTTATTAAATATTCTGGATAGGCCTGTATTCAGAAAGAGGAGGATTAAATAAATATCCAAAAAATGGAATACAATATCCACACACACCTGTTCACCTCTATAGACTACATATTCGGCAAAATGTAAACCGCCAGCCGAGGGTCTGCCAATAACGGAATGATGTCCCGGAGGTGCATGAGCCATTTTCATGGCACTATATTGCAGAAATGATTTACCCAATGCTACTCTACACAATAGCAGTTGTCTGTGGGGAAGGAATACACAATAAATTATTAAAAATTTAGGTTCTGTAAAATGTCATTTCTTTCTCCTTACCTTGGACACATATAACACGATTTATCCTTGTGCGATGGACATCCAATACCTCCACCAATACCATAAACATATTGATTACTTTTCGAACTGTGTTCGGCAAAATAGATGCCAGCACCAAACATTCCACCAATATAGGCATGTCGTTCATCAAAGCCCTTCTGGACAATGGCATTGATGAAGGGGCTACCATGGAAGAGCATTCGTTCATTGGCCTGCATTGTGTTCTCTTCGGAAACTTCTTGGCGACGATGGGCATATCGTTCCCATAGTTTGCGATTTTGTACCTTCTGAACCTGCAAAGAGAGTGTAGGAGGGCGGAAAATATGATTAGAATTATTATTGAAATATCAATTACTATCAATAGGGGAATCTCTTGAAAACGTTTTGTCGATTTAAAATATTTCTACTTTTCGGATGATTTCCGAAGTCATAAAGTAGCCTAAAATGTGCTTCAAAAGTTTTATTCAGGCCTTACAAATTTGAAATTTTTAAACAGCATTTAGATCCCTTAAAATATTTTATATTTATACCGGGCACGGCTAAAGTATTTTATCTGTAGAGGACCTTGACAAAATCATCTGTCATTAGGGATTTTTGAAACTACAATCTCGAAAAGGGAATAATTCCAAGGTTATCTTTCTATTGAAAACTTTTAGAAATTATTTAATTCGTCTCTGTAAATAACCTTCCGAAGGCCATTTTTCTCTAGAGAATCCTCAAAATATTTTATAATTATAGAGGGCTTTAATAATTATTTGATTTGTGTTCTTTAGAAGGTATTCTATATGTAGAGGACCTTCGGATGGTCACCTAAATATAATTTATATTCTGAATAACTTCAATTTACATGGGATGTCCAGAAAATTACCTTTAAGATTATTTCTATACACAAAAGTTCATATTTAGATGTTTAAATCGGATTTGAGTCTAAGCTAAATACATTGAGTTTGGTTGCGCCTTAAAACCTTCCCTCGTAGCTAAGGGTGTGCCGATCTAACAATAATTTTCAGAAAAGTCATTGCTTCTATGTCAAGTATTTCAATATTCTCTTGTGATCTTTAAGTAAGGCTTCAATATTTATTGCCTTTGGATTTCCATCCCCTTATCTTCGATACTACTTACTCGTATAATATTATATCGGGTAAAATAACCACCAGCTTGACCATTATCACGATGCTCTCGTATTGTGGCTTGCATTTCCTCTTCAACTGCTAGAAATTCTTTATCATCTGGTAAAAGATCAACTAGCAATGTGCCAGGATTGACATTATTGCCAATACCTAAAAACAAATAACAAAGAAATAGTCAGAATTTAAATTTTAAAACAAATTCAAAAACAAACATTTCCTCATCAACCCACCTGTGGTAGCCCTCAATTGAGCTATGCCCTTCAATATTTTATGCCGGAAACCATATGCCGACACTCCCACCTGTTTCAAATCTTCATGGCCCATCTCCGCCAATATCTCCAATGTGATTTGTTCTCTCTCAAAGAGATCCGTTAAATGTTCTAGCTGCAGACTACTTAAGAAACTGGCAATGTTTGTTATCGATTCAGGATCAGCAACATCTTCACCCAAATCAGTGGAATTTGCTTCGGCACCCTGGGCGGGACTAATACGTGTCGACAGGGGTAGAGGCACAGGAACACTTAGGGTCATTGAGGCACCCGAAGGCAGGGTAACGGTCTCAGTGCTGGGGGATAACACAGTACAGGCGGCCACATTGCTGCCATTTGTTGCCGACAAGCTGTTGGCGGCTGTGGCCGCTGTTGTTGCAGTGACAGGAGCCAGCGGTGTGGAATTGTTGCTCAGCAATGATTGTTGGGAAGCACTTAATGCCGAACTACTTAACGATGTAGCCATGGCATCTTGCAGCAAACATTTCACATCATCAGCTGTGGCTAATTCAATGGGTGTTTGGCCTTCTTGATTTTTCATATAGGGATCAGCTCCGTGGGCCAACAACAACGAACATAGTTGAGTGCGACCCTTCTGGGCTGCTTCATGCAGGGGTGTAAAACCCCATTTGTCGGTAGCATTTACCACAGTCTTGTGTTTGATGAGTAGAGCAGCTATTTCCAAATGGCCATACGAAGAGGCATTGTGCAGAGGTATTAGACCACCCTTATCTTGGGCATTGACATCGGCTCCATTCTCCAAGAGATATTCCGCCACCTCATAATTGTTGTAGCCAGCGGCCAAATGCAAGGGTGTGGAGTTGCGACCTTGAGCATCACGACAATTTATGGTTTCGGGTGTCACCAGCCTTTGTACTCGTGCCAAATTGCCTTTCTTGGCAGCATCCAAAAGGGCTGAGTTGCCTCTAAGCAACTCGGCCACATCATGATCGGATTCTTTGACTAAATCGGCAGGAGTGGCACCATCACGATTCTTTTTCGTGGGGTCTGCACCATGTTTCAGAAGTAATTTGACAATATCATATTTTCCCTTGGCTGCAGCTTCGTGGAGCGGTGTAAATTTCCACAAGTCGGAGACATTGACATTGGCACCAGCCTTGATTAACAATTTTGTAACTTCAAAGTGGCCATATGAACAGGCATTGTGTAGAGGTACCAGACCACCCTTGTCGGCTGCATGTACCTCGGCTCCCTGTTCCAATAGGAATTCCACAACTTGTACACGATTAAAGCCGGCAGCGAAATGCAATGGTGTTGAATGTCTACCGTCTAGGTCACGACAATTCACCGAATGAGGATTGGCCAAGACGATGCGTCGCACCGTATCCAAGTCTCCAGCCTTGGCAGCTTCCAGCAGATGTGTTTCAGTGTCTGGTGGATCTTTGAGAATTTTCAAAACACTATCTGAGGCCAGCTGGGCAGCGGTATAGCCTTCCAATGAGATAATGGAGGTGTCAATATTGTAGGAGAGTAATAAACGCACGGCCTGTTCGTCACGGGCACATTTGTGTAATGCCGTTTGTCCCAGCCCGTCAAGAGCATTGACTTTGGCACCATTTTTCAATAGAGTATCCATAATGTCGTAATGCAGTTGTTCGGCTGCCACATGTAGGGGTGTAAGGAATGCTTTGTTTTTCTCATTCAACAGAGAACCTTTGCGTATAAGTAGCTCCGATATCTGTAAGGGAGCAAAAAGGAAGAAAGGCAGATAATAGATTTTTAAATTATTATAAATTCGCCTTGATTAACATTACCTGTTTCCTTTTGGGATCAATGGACACAGCTGTGGCATGCAGTGGTGTATCTCCGGTATAGGGATGTACAAAGTTCACCGTTTCCGAGGAAAGGAATTTCTTTAACCTTGGTATATTACCCGTTTTGCAAGCATCTAAGACACAATGACCTTTATATTCATCTAGAAAAGGGAAATTTGATATTTTAATTGCCGCTTTATCAGAAATAGTTGGGGACTTTGAATAACGGGGTGGTTATTTTCAAAATACCTACTGGGAATGTGTGAGGCAGAACAAAAGACATCTCCAAATAAATTAGATTGTTTTGATTGCTACTACTTACAGTGAATACGTTCACGCAATTCCCTCGTTGGTGCCGAATCAATTGCCGATTTATTGTGGCAATTGAGTAGCGTCGGATTCGCCCCCTTGCTCAGGAGCAGACTACACACTTCGACACGACTCTTAGAGGCAGCTTCGTGCAACGGCGTAAATGCCCACAAATCATTGGCATTGACATCAGCACCGGCCTTGATCAATAGTTTGGTCACCTCAAAGTGACCATACGAACAGGCATTGTGTAATGGCACCAAACCACCTTTATCTTTAGCATGCACATCCGCTCCATGTGCCAGCAAAATTTCGACTATCGCTATCCGATTGTAACCCGCTGCTAAATGTAAAGGTGTTGAACGTCTACCATCGCTAGCATGACAATTAACATTGAGTGGTGTCAGCAGGGCCAACAGACGTTCCTTGGCCCCGGATCGAGCCGCCTCTAAAAGTTCATCCTTACGATATTCGCCGGTGAGAACGGGCCGTGTATTCTCGTCCGCCAATTCCAGTGGCGTTTTATTTTCCGAATTGCGGATATTCGGATTGGCACCGTGCTGCAACAGAGCTATGCACACATCGACTTTACCCTTGCTGGCAGCTTCATGCAGCGGGGTATAATTCCAATTGTCTGTGGTATTGGGACAGGCTCCGGCTTTCAGTAGCAAACGTACAACTTCGGCATGACCAAAGGAACAGGCATTGTGTAATGGATGTAGGCCACCCTCGTCGCATGCCTGTATGGAAGCACCATTATTGAGAAGAAATTCAACAACCTCTCGGCGACCGTAACCTGAAAACGAAAAAAGCGAAATGAAAACACACACACATACATAAACAAATTAGCATAGAACAGTGAATAACAATGTCAAAAGTCAACAATAACACATTGTGTCAATTTGCGTTTATTTCCTTCCCCCATGGTCCGCCGCCGTTCTCGGTTCGTTTCTTCTAATGTAATTCTTGCTGTTGTTTGTGCCTTTGGTTATTCTTTCTGGGCCAAGTGTTGATTATGAGGGGCTTTGAGAATAATGTGAACGAAGCTGAGAACGGAAAAAAAATCTTTTGTGTGGTATTTTGGGTTCATGGTTAATGGAAAAATAGTTAAAGGTTGTCATTGTGGGCCTATGAAAAATAAAAAAAAAATATCGAAATATCAGTGGTGATATGTGAGCTTGTGCCTAGTAATGGAAATTAAAGCAAATTGGTCATTATTTTCAATATCTATAGCAAAATTTTTAAATCAAATCCCGTTTATAATTAAGTAAAGGATCAAAAATTAAATATTGTCTGTCAAAGACGTAAAATTCCACCTTCAGCTGAACTAACTTTATGACACTCGAGGGCCTCTTTAGGTCGACTTTTAATGATTCTTTATAAAAAAAAAACTTTTAAGGAATATTAGTTAAGGGAAATCTTAAAAAGCCTTTGACGGGTTTTATGGACAGTCCCATTAGAATTATTTTTTTTTCTACCTCAAAAATTATTTTGAGGGTAGAACAAAAAAAAAACTGGTTCTCTTCAGAGAAGTATTTTTAATATTTATTTTTATATTTTAATATTCCACAAAATTCCTTCCTAGTATATCATTATTTTCCAAAAAATACTATGTAGTAATGCTGGAAATGACAAGAATTACAAGTAACGCACACACACACATTAAAACAACGTACATGCCGCATGCAAATATTGAGCACCATGTTCTTCAAAAAAACACAAGAATCATGTTCAGGCATAATTACATATATACGATAATATCTTTATATCCGTATTGTGTGCCTCTGTGTGTGTGTATGTCATTACAAATAAGCCAAGACAAGGTAATACAGGGTCACTTCGTAGCATAATTGAGAGAAATAGTAAATATATAGAACCAAGAGATAAAGGAAATAGTTTTTTGGTGACCTTGCAGCCATAATTGGAATGTTTTTTGAGTGGAACTAAGGATAAGAGGACTTGAAAAAGCATTATCGTAGTATAGGTAGAGATATAAGATTACATTTTTCGAGGAAAAGAATCTATTTAGAATAGATTGCCATACAAAAATAATCAATATTTTCGAAAAAGAAAAATTCTTTGGAAAAGTGAATGACTTGAAGGAAATTTCGATTCCAAATCTCTCTCTAATGATAAAGGATTAGAAAAATACTCTGGAAGGAAAGGAAATCCTTGCTGTTAAAGAATTAGGTTTAATTAAACATTACTTCAATGGTCTTCAAGCTGGTCCCGAGCCACTATTTCATTATCTTAGATGTCAACATAATTTAGGTTGGGTAGAATTCCTTTTTTTTATAGGGAATAGAAAATCGTATCGAACAGTTAGAGGGACGCTATAATCAATGTATCGCATATATTTTTTTCCCACATCTGAAAAATATGTCCGATGGATATCGTTGAATATTGAAGTGACTATGGCTATTATGAAGCATGTGATGAAAAATCGTAATTGAAAATGAAGATATCGTTTTAAAAACGATTTTTTAGATATGGAACTGCAATTAAACCAAAAAAGAGTTTCCAGACAATATTGAGACTGGAATACTATCCAATAAGGCCGCTACAATTTATGTATCGTCCCTCAATGGGATTGTATTAAATAAATAAATTGATGGCAAATATCTGTCAATATTCTTCGATCCGGATTCGATCTTCTCAGATTTGAAGAATATGCTCGCTGGAAAGAAAATAACGTCGAATAAAGAAGTGATCATCGAAACTATGACCTATATGAAAGGATTGTTTTAAGAAATTTGCCAAAAAAAAAAAATATATATTTAAATATGGAACGACTGGATTGATCCCCAAAAGTAACTCTAGTGATTTATATCGATAGTTCTTACAAAAACGATCCAAAAATTTATTATAAAAGTTTGGGTGAAGAAATATTAATGGACGGCCACACATGCGACATTTTATCACCAGTCCTGAGATTAGACGATATAGAAGTTGTTGTTGTTGTTGTTGTAGCAGCCATATTGCTTTTACACAATGGGCTGAGGTGACAGACGTTGGCCGAGTAAGACTCGGGTCGTTTCGGATCGTAGACCCCTCTGTCGTGGAAGTCGATATAGAAGTCGCTATATTCCACAATCTCTAATCTACTATTCAACTATGGAACCTTATTAGGTAGGTTAGGTTAGGGATGTACGGTTGTTAATAAAAACAGTTCACTGGGAGACAATTGTCCATTGTGATCATCCTTGATACCTCAAAGGAGAGGGGAAAAGAGGAGAGAAAGGAAGAGAGGAAAAATAATTGGACTTGGAGAGCCTAAAAGATGATTATTTCAGTCATGTCAGATTTTTGACAAAGACTATGATCTGATTGGGGTCTATTTTGGAGAAGATTAGATTTGAATTTCGTACTTTTCAAACTGTTTATGTATTCTGACACTCAGCGATGGACATCTACAGAGGGTATGATCAATTGTTTCTAGCTTCTCTTCGTCCTCACATAAACTACAGTAATCCTGTCCGTTGAAGTCCCATTTCGAAATGAGGGATCTAATCTTGCAGTGACCTGTTATGATACCCACAATGATTTTGATCTATCTCTCTTATTATGTGATAGCAGCGAAGAAGTTCTTCGGTGAGAGAATTCGGCAACCAGATTCTCCGACCATCTGTTCCCGACTACCTCGCCGTTTTGCCAATGAAATAACCAATAGGTGGTTGCACCAATCTCTCAATCGGAAGTTTGGACAACTGTGAACCCCCTCGAGCAATCTCGTCGGCTATCTCGATCCCTTCTATGTTGCTAAGTCCTGGAACTCAGCATAAATGAACTATCCGTCGTATCATCGTATCAAGAACTGCTTTTGAGTTTATAGTGACTGGTCTCGTATTATCGGCTGTAAGTATTTTGACTATCTCACCCGCTTTCGTGATTGCAAGGATTTCTGCTTGAAAAACGCTACAAAGATTGTTAAGTCGATTAAGATTGTTTGTTGTCGATTTCTCATTCCCTACAGTAAACGCCTGCACCAGTACCTTCCTCCATCTTTGACCCGTCTGTGAAAAATGACAGACCTGGCAGATGTAAGGAGCCACTAGATGGAACCTTATTAAATCTGCAACATCTCAACCTTATTAAATCTGAACACTTTAACCGCTTAACCAAATTTTTCCAACCATCACCAACCTTAAATGAAAGGACCGGGAAGTCTTCGAGTGATGCAGTCATATTTAGTGACTGCACATCCTCAAACCTAACCCAACCTGCGGACGGAAATAATAGATTACTGTGAACCCTTTAAAAGACAACAACAATAGTATATCCAAAAATGATTTTAGCGGAATATTTATATGAAATAACAGGGGAATATTTTATTTTCAAATGAAATGTTATGAAATTTTCTACAACATTATAGGCAAAACATCTTCTTCAATAAAAAAAACCAACAACAATATTTGTAATCTCATAAATATTTTTTTAGCCCATTAATCCAAATACATTTTCAAATTCTAAATCTAAACCGGAACAGATAACTGTACAAAAACCAAAGCAATGGCTTAATGGGTATCTATATTGGCAATACAAAGACTAATTGTGTAACACTTAAGACAACAACTGCGGTTTGGTTAATAAATTTTGGATTTTTAAGTTCCATTCGGTTATTAATAAATGTGAAAAATAAACCAAAAAAAAAAATTGGTAAAGAAGAAGACTACCACAGACCATGTTAACCAATTCAGTTACAATGGTTAATAGTTTTTTTTTTTCTTAAACAATAACAACAATAACTAAGTTAATATATTTCATTGGTATTGGTTACAAGAAGAAAAAATTAAACAATGACGTGACTTGAAATTTATATTCGAAAGGTATTCAATTTTTTTTATTTTTATTTTTTTTTTTTTTTTTTGGAATTTTGTTTTTTTATTGCAATTTTTATTTCACATTGTTATTTATGCAGAAAATTTTTTTGAGAAACCACACTTGTTTAGGTTATTTGAATGGGTGTCAGACGTTCGGGTGGTTTTTTATTTTGCAGACAGACAGGTATTGTTGTTATTGTTTGTTATTCGGTAGTCACTATGACTGAGTTTGAGATGATCCAGTTGTCAATCTTTGGTGGTATGGTTTAAAATGCGAAAGTGCTATATGTGTCACTATAATGAGTTACTGGGTGAAAAGTGTGTTTGTGTGCATTTTTGCGGATATCCCAGAGATATCTTTAACAAAAGATAATATAATCGGAATCATTGGGAAAAGCAAATATAAAAGTGATTAATATGTCAGCAAATTAAGTCATCATAGTTTGTCACACATGATTGTGTTTCCGGAGGTTGGGTCAATACGAAATATTGTTGTATATGTATTATCATTTAGAGAGATTTTTGAAAAAAATCGGACGCCGACAATAAGGAGTCGATTTATATGTTTTCCCACCTACAATAAGAATTGACTTTTTTTTTAAATATCTAAGGTAATGGCTATGGAGTCAAGTCTTTGTTTCTCTTTTAATTTTTTTGAAATTTGTTCCTAACATATTTTTTTGTGAAACATTTCTCAGGATTCCTTATCATCGTCGTGTATACACTATTATTGGTGAGTAGTAGAAAACCTCCAACCATATTATTTTTTTTACACATTTATTATCACTATTTCGTATTGTTTATTTAGTATTTGGCGACATATATCCACAAATAATAATAATGATAAGATATCATCATCACTCATATCGAAATTTGCAGAATTTTCGAAATAGAAAAATAATAAAAAAACAAAGAACTACTTGGGTGGCCTTTACTAAAAGAAAATTAAAGTTCTTTGTTTGAGAGTTTCTTTTTA